TGTTAAATTTTGAAGAACTGCAACAGCGAGTCCTCCCGTGCGCACTCCTGCAGCTGCCAATCGATTTTTGGAGCAGCATTGGCCCACGTTTCCCAGGGGTCAGCAGTAAACATGACGTATACTCCGGAGCAACTTATATATTTTTTTCCTCTTCATTATGCTTCTTTGACTGATGTGACTTATACACCAGAAAATACGGTACATGAATATTTCTGTTCAGTGTCCTGAGACGACTGCTGTTGTGACTTGGAGCTAAATAAATAAACTGAACTAATTGAAGTGAATCTCAACGTTCCATGATAACTGTACCCAGATTAGGCTTTGAGGGGACGTGTGCATGTGGACCACACCACTATAAGGAGTGGACAGACATGAATGTAGCAGCAAGCCCCTTTTTGACCTCAGTACACAAAGAAGGTTGAGATTTTTCACCAGCTTTAATTTGACATATTTTAGCATAAACTTCACACTTATCAGAAACTGAACCAGTCTGTTTGAGCTGCAAAAGCACTTTCATAGCCGTTCTGTAAAGTAGTTAATTCAATGTACTTCAGAATATCTGACTGCTGTTCCGTCTGTGTCCACATGGTGGTGCTGCAGGCCCTGGTAGGACACCAGTATGGATCTGCCAGCCTGCCCACCCAGGTGGAGGTGTCAGAGTACCAGCTGCTCCTGCAGGAGAGCCAGCAGGTGGGTGTCTCCACCCAGCAGCTGGAGACGGCGTACCAGAGGGACGAGAACACCATTCCTCCCTCCTACCGCCTAAAGGTTTCTCAGACGGTGACGATTGTCTGATCCTAAAGCTTTTTTTTAAATTTTCAGATAGTGAGCAGGAAAAAAAAAGTTTAAGCACTGAACCTTTTAGCTGGTGACATTTTACCAGGATGAACTTCCTGTATTTTACGTGTGTTGGCTGTTTTTGCTCGGCAGGCAGAAGTGGAGGGAGAAGCCGACAGCATCACCAGCTATAACCAGGAAGAAGTGAGGAAGGAGTTTGAGACCGTCGTGAGCCTGTGTGTCCACAACAAGGTCATGACCCCAGAAAGAGCCCGAGTCTTCCACAGATCAGGTGAAACAAACACTGTTGTCTGAGTAGATGTTATTTGTGTCATGACAGCAGGTGGGATCCAGATGTTTCCTCCACTTCCTAACCCGTCTGCGAGATCCTCAAAATGCTTCTAGCAAGTAAATGAGACCCCCTGACCCACCCCTAAAGCCCCTTATCCACAGGGCCTTTTGGGGCTCCTATGTAACTAGTTCGGGACGATTGCGTGGTTTATCCACAATGCCGTCAGTGGTGGAACCCACCCCATTTTTGGGACCTACTTCTCTGAGGTCCCAGGTCTGGTTCTTGTTGGGTCTAGATGTGACATCAGCGCACTGTAGGTCACTGATTAGTCAGGGGCCGTATTCATTGGTGGAGGGCGGAGATCAAGGTTAAGGTTAAGGTAATAAGTTAACCTGGGTCCCTGATTGATCCAGGAGCACTGAAGTGGAGACGTCAGATGCTGGAACTCCCTCAGTGGTTTGTTGAATTATAACTAAATCTGTTATCTGACGTTTGTCTCCAGCTCTTGATGCAGACCTGAGATTTGCTCTGGACAACCGTCCTGCTCAGGACATCACCAGCCGCTGTGTGGTCTATGTCCACAAGGTCTTTAATGCAAAGGAACAGAGCCTGAGGAATTCACAGCTGCACAATAGTCTTGAGGTACCCATCTTCTTTTCCAAGCATCCAGATGTTCGTGTAATCTATTAAAAGGGTCTTGATTGATTGTTCTCCTGACTTTCTGAAGGTCTTTTCAATTACTTCTTTTGATTTTGGGCTATGTTTTTATTTTATTTTTAACTCATTTTCAGTCCAGGAATTCATAATTTACCAAAAAAATTAAAGTTTTCATGTTTGTTGATCTACTCTGACCAGTGAATCACTCAGGCATTTAAAAAAAGCTCCTAGACTTGAGGATAAATCGACACGTAGCAGACAACTAATTAGATTTAATTCAAGGATTCAAGGTTCTTTATTGTCATTCACATCACATGTGGTACATGAGGTGGAAAGAAATAGTGTACAGGGTCCCAGTTACATCCAATAATAGCAAAAATATAAAGTGTAAAAAGAAACAGATAAGGATCTGAGATATTACCTAAGATATACTCTTAATGAACGCCCAACAGTACGCTAAAAGATCTAAGATATATGCCATTCACTAATAGTGCAAAACAATACACTGAACCACAGCAGCACGATTCTCATAGGTTCTGTTCAGCTATAATTTACAGCACTAACATAAACTAAACTAACATAAACTAGGATTTATTCAAAGCATGTAACAAAAATACAGAAACAAGGTGCCAAAAGTGAAAAAGAAATAAATCTACAGCAGCATGGTCCAGTTAGCAGCGTTAGCAGATCTTGTTAGCAGATCTTATTAGCAGTGTCAACAGGTCTTGTTAGCAGCGTTAGCAGATTTTGTTAGCAGCGTTAGCAGATCTTGTTAGCAGGTCTTGTTAGCAGCGTTAGCGGATCTTGTTAGCAGATCTTGTTAGCAGATCTTGTTAGCAGATCTTGTAAGCAGCATTAACAGGTCTTGTTAGCAGCGTTAGCAGGTCTTGTTAGAAGCGTTAGCAGATCTTGTTAGCAGCGTTAGCAGGTCTTGTTAGCAGCGTTAGCAGATCTTGTTAGCAGATCTTATTAGCAGCGTTAGCAGATCTTGTTAGCAGCATTAGCAGATCTTGTAAGTAGCATTAGCAGGTCTTGTTAACAGCGTTAGCAGATCTTGTTAGCAGATCTTGTTAGCAGATCTTGTTAGCAGCGTTAGCAGATCTTGTTAGCAGCATTAGCAGGTTTTGTTAGCAGCGTTAGCAGATCTTGTTAGCAGCGTTAGCAGATCTTGTTAGCAGATCTTGTTAGCAGCGTTAACAGGTCTTGTTAGCAG